TCATTATTTTGTATTAAAATGTAATATTTGTAGTATTAATACAAAACTTTTAAGCCAAGCCAATCAATAATAACATAAAATAAATATAATTGGCTCACCACTTTTGCACCATGTTTATACTGGCATGCCAGGTGGTACACCAATATGGTGCACTATTGGCATTGCCAAGTGCCCTGCACCAGCAACCCTATGTGCCTGTTATCCAAACTATAATATTATTTTACCAAATAACAAATATTCAGATCAACCCTACCAAATCAGTATTTATTTGCAACCAATCTATAAACTCTATCTTATTCTACAATTTTTTACTAAATTCTATATCTCCATAACTAGCCTTTTAAATTTCTAGGCTGTTGGTATACTTTTGATAATAAACAATCTCAACAAATCTAACTTATAAAAGATGAAACATTTTAATTTATTAATATCACTAGCTCTAAAAGATCACTAATAAGCAAATAGCCTATATTATCAATACTATTATTATCTCTACCTTAGAGTATAGATTACACAATATTGTGCTTTTACAATTTATATATAATTAGATCTTCTCTAAATATCTTATAGTAACTAAACATAAATTGTATCTTATCTAATCTATTCAGAATAGTACTATACTTAATTTTTATTTATATAATATTAAAAATATTTGAGATATCCAACTTCAACTTCATGTTACTAACTTCTTATAACAAATCAATAATCTATACTTATTAAGTACCTTTACTCATATTTGAATACAGTAACTATAGAATAATCTGTAGTCTACTATCAATATATTTTAGTATCTACAACTAACTATAGATAGGCCAAATAAACATACTCTTAACTTTCATATTATCTAACTTTTTATTTACTTAGATATATTAATTATAGCAAACTCTAATTTTTAATAGCCCATACTATTCAATACAATCTACAATTTTTAGAAAAGATTCTATAATAATATCCTAAATATAATCTTATTAAAAAATAATTTAGATACTTAAACTTGCTCTATCTAGAACAACTATGTTTAGCTGATAATTTTGTTCTCTTAAAATAGAAATATTTTTCATCTAGATTGCTTTATCTGCCTAAAGGCAAGCAACCAAGCTGATATATATTTTTAGAGAATAAAGTAATATCTTATTACAATTATTGTACTTTGCTACCTCAATATCAATAATCAGACATCAATACTTTTGTATACAATATATATATCTTAAAAAAATCATAACTTTGGCTACTCAGTTGCAACAATGATAATATTATTGTTGTAAAGTTTATAAACACTTTTCTAATAATCTGGTCTCTATTATTTACTAGAAAACTGATATTGATACTAGTCATTATCAACTCTATTCTTTTTAACCTGTTTAATATCAACTATATAAAGAATGCTACTTAAATTCTAATAGAATTAGTAACCACTATACTATTAACTAGTGTTGTCATACGAACATAAATACGAATATAGACCGGACCAGACTGGATGTCCGCATCTATGTCTAAAGATAATAATATCCGCCAAACATTGTTCATAGATCGATCAATTAAATGTTTAGCATTAGACAATATCTACGATAATAATCTTATTGACTATGAATATACTGTAAATAGTACATACGTACATATCAGAGCTTAACCCACTATATTAATTTACTAGCCATTTAAAAGTATCGTTCTTGATCTATAATATATTAGAATTTAATTGGCTAAAAGTAATGCACAATATATTAGGTATACTAGCTTTGATGAATCAAAAAAAACAATAGCAGTGGTGCAGTAAATGGTTAGCAAATTAATATTGTGGGTTAAGCCCTGGTATGTATATACACACATATATATTCTAATATTTGCTAAAAACCTACTTTACTAGATCTGTATTTCAATATAATTTTCATTTATTAAAAACTTTAATTTACAATTTTACATATTATCCACATTTCTTATATTATAATTATACTATATCTTTCGTATTTTGTTACAGCTATTTTTATAATTCCTGTAACATGTTTAAAAAATTAGCCAAATGATTTTTAGCAGATCCAGTTAATTTATTATTTCTGCATAATAAATCTAGTTTGAATGCCAAATATCTATCTTGAGAAGACCGCTAAAGCAAAAGTTTGATCTTAAGAAAACTATTTGAATAAAAATTGGTACGTACGTATGTATAGTACATACCAATTTTTATTGAATCTATTATCCGAATCAGCCAAAAATCATTTAGCTAATTTATTACAGGTGTCTCAGAAATTATGAAATAGCTGTAATCCTAAATATTTTCAAATCATAAAATATATATCTATATGAAAAACAATATGAAAACTAGAAACTAGCGCTCATTTCTACCAGTTTCAATTTTTTTCAGGTTCAGATTCCAAATCTCTATTCCCAAACCTATTCACATTCATTGGTGACCTACAAAAGAAAAAAGAGTATATTAATAAGAAAATAAAAAAGAGAAATAGAAAAACAAAAAAAAAACAAAAACACGAGAATACAAAAACTAGAATCTGGTATACTTATCTATATACCAGTTCTATTTCTCCTGGGTTCAAATCTCTATTCCAGACTCCATTCACATTCTCTGGTAATATACAAAAAAAAAGAAAGTATTAGTAAAGAATGAAAAAGAAAAAAAAAAAAAAAAAAACAAGAATACGAAAACTAGAAACTGGTATGCTTATCTTTATACCAGTTCTATTTATTCCAGGTCAAATCTCCATTCCAGATTTCATTCATATTTGCTAGTGATCTACAAAAACAAGTATTAGTGAATAAAAAAGAGAAACAAGAAAAAAAAACATAAGAATACAAAAACTAGAAACTGGTATACTTATTTTTATACCAGTTTTAATTTCTAATTGGATTTCAAATCACCAATTCCAGCGAAGCACTAAGGAAGAAAGAAAGCGTTAGTAAAAGACTAAAGAAATAAAAACAAGCCAAATAAGAAGCTAATACTTAACTTTGTTCCAGTTCCAATTTTTTATCGAATCCAAAACGTTAGTAATACCAGTTCTAATTTTCTACCAGATCTCAAATCACCAATCCCAGCGAAGCACTAAACTGCAAAAAGAAAAAAGTAAGCGTTAGTAAAATAAAAACAAAAAGACAAATAAGAAACTGGTACTTATCTTTGTGCTAGTTCTAATTTTTTATCGAATCCCAATTTACCAAGCCTAGCAAAGCACTAACCTGTAAAAGGAAGAAAAAAAGCATTAGTAAAAGAATATAAAAAATAAATTACTGGAAATTCGAAAGTAATTTTATGTAACAGTAGATTACCTGTAATATAGATCGTAGTCGTATATACTTGGACGTTGGACAATGTCTGCCAGACATTGTCCAATATCCAAGTATTTAATTGGATGTGCATTTCAAAACTAAAATACTCATCTAATCAAATGCTTGGACATTAAACAATATTCAGCAGACATCCGCCAGACGTAATATTTTGTGTTGACAATGTCTGGTCACAATTCATGTTTTTGGATATTTGGTGGACACAAACATTGGATAATGTTCAAAATGTCTGTGTCCAAGCAATATTCTGCGAACAGTGTCCGTATATATCACTGCTATTAACATATCATCTATTATTTCTATGCAATTTTTTAAGAAAATTTCTTCTAATAATTTAAACTTTCATACTAACTATATGAATCTCATCTACTCTACAGCAGTTAAATATCTATTTAAATTCTAATACCACCTTAATTCTTATCAACTACTCTATTACATCTCAAATCTTTGAAGCTAAAGAATCTATATCTAAGCTTGAATAATTTTTAATTACTAATTTTATACAATCTCAAT